TTTGTCTCTCCAAATCCCTCTCACCAGTGCTGCTCCATGCTAATTGAATGTAAACAGAGTTGATTTGGCTTGTTAGATCAGATGCAACTGGTGCGATATGCTGATATCCATATGTTGCATTCAGTGGTGTCACGTAATTTAGTGGATCAACCCAGCTATGGTGATCCCACAGCATGCCGATCAAAACTAAGGCGTATTTAATGCAGCTCATTTGCTGAGTAATTTGACCCGGGTACACACGCGTCAGTTAGCTGTTCCCACTGCAGATTGTTCCCGGCAAAGGTGTATAAGTATCAGTTTGCTGGCTAGCTCCTCTGTCCCAAGAATGGGAAGACTAGCATGATGCTACCATCACTATGTTTCAGTGTGAGGATCCTTTAATTACGTAAATTAAGGCATTTTTTTATCACCATTTAATTTAAAAAAAAACTGATTCACTGTATAATATAATATAATTGCAAAAGGCAGAAATATACATAAAATGGCTAAGCTCTCTGTTTAGTCTGCTACAAAAAACATTAAAGGAGATTAAACAGAGAACTCTAGAACTTCACTAAAAGACTTTTTTTTTAATGTCCTCACCTTCTTTTTCACATTATCAATAATGTGCTGACACTATATAGAAAAAGGTGGGTTTCACAGTTTGGGTGCTCATTCTTTAAAAAAGCAATTCCCCATTTTTGTAATAAGCCATTGTTGTTTGAGCCACAACCAACAACTGTTCAGGAAACCTTAAAATGGGGGTTGGGGGCATTTTGGTGTCCCCTAAATGACTTTTGGCAAAACTCTAAACAAAAATGGTTGTTTATTTGTCGTCTTTCCTTATAGTTTGATTTATGGAGCGCATGGCTAATGATGTTATCAGATTATTCCGCTTCCAGAGTTACCATGAGTCTTGGAAGGCTCACTGCATGGCCACGTCTTTTTACAGTAGCGTTGGTGTTTTTTTTATTTGCTGTGCCATATGAACAGTTGCCAGGGGCATACGATTGGGAGATAGGTGATAAGGGATTAAAAAATGCTCTGAGAAACGTTTGAAGCTTAAGTTTAAACACCTTAATGTTCCTTAACGTCTTTAAAACCTTATTCTTGACCTGTCTGCTGTTTCTTTGGATTTTAAGATGATTTTTTATCACCAATGTTCTCTGATGATCTCTAAGGGCGTTTTAGAACCTCTTGTACTAGATTTTATTTGTGAACTTCAGAATAAAGAGGGCAGAATACAAACAGACATAAGCAAAATGGGAAAATATTTGAGGGGAGTGATTACTTTAACAAGGCCTAATTATTCAGAGCTAAATCTAAAGGGTGAAGTAATTTAGAAAGTGGATAATAATTTTTTTTTTTTTTGTTCTACCTGTTCTCCGGCAACACATTTCCTTCAGTTTTGCAGTTTCTCTTCTTTAGTCTAACAAACAGGATGTGCTTCTCTTTTGTCAGGGAAGTTCCATCATGCCAACTTTGTTACAATCCTGAGCAGCTGTGGCCTCAATCAGTCACTCTCTCCTTTTTTTTTTTACAATAAGTGGAACAGACAACAAAGTAGAGGCAGGTTACTTCTCACTACTTCTGCACATTCCCCTTTTTGCCTTAGAAAACTCTGGTTTTCCTTTCTGGTCTCTTTCTGTTCCCATTCATCTCTTTTGCCGTTACAGGAACATCAAATGTGAAGCTCATTTGCTCTGCTGCGGCTATCTGTCCTTATGCTTGTACAGGTCAACAGGGTTAAACAGAAGACTGAATTTCAGAGCTGAATCTAGGGAACAAAGGGTTCTTTAATAAGACATGAAAAGATAGGGGCCGTTATCTTGTGTGTTTTTCTTTTGTGCTCCGACATTGTATTATAATGTAGGTATACTTATACACTCTATCCATTTTCAGTGGTGCTTAAGGTCATGTCAGTTCAGCTGTGTGGGGATTTATAGAGCCTTGCAAAAGCATTTATACCCCTTGATTTTTTTCCACAGAGTATTTCAAGGATATAAATACTTTTGCTAAGGACTTTATAAGGATAGCACTACGAGAATCAAATAAACCAGTTCTAACTAACTGTCTTTGCTTCCCAAAGACATAAAAGCTCTCCCTTACTTTTTGTCAGCCAAGAAAAACAGATTTTTTTGTAATTACAATAAGATGTCATCCCAGATATTTCTAATTAATGACTGACGGGCTTAGCTCCTCGTTCAGCCATATTTTGACCAGATGTGGCCATCCCTCAACAGGCTAAAAATAATTTTGCGTCCAACAGCTGGAATACACCACAGATGTCCCACGTTATGAGATTCCAAGTAATGAGTGAAAAATCACACTTTACGACCACAGCATCCAATGCACACTCCTGTGGGTTTCTTTGACAACTGCAGGAAACACCTGCACACAGATGTTACTCTCTGTGCCAGTGGTATACCTAAGTGAAATGACAGCAGAATATAAACACAGCTACAACTGCAGTCTCCCGTCGCCACAGTCTTTCAGCTGTGACTAGAGGTAGAGAAATTCTCTTTCTCCTAGCATGTTGTGACTGTTGAGTGTGAAAGACTGTTCAGTTTTAAATCTTAGTATTGACAAAAACTCAAGAGGTATTTAAGAAATGAATATATATATATATATATATATGTATACCAAGTTATCACACCAGTATATTAATATAAAGGCCAAGAAGAAAAAAAAAACATTTAAAAAAACAGTTTATGAAATTATCTTTTTAAAAAAAACAAAAACATAATTTCATGTAAAGGTTTATCTTCTGTTTATAAATCTTGCCCTTCTTTGAAAATATGTGTTTTGCATGGTCCAAGTTTAATAATGGAGAAGCTATTAGTCAGCTTTATATTTTCTCAATATATAAAAACTATTTATTTTCTAAAGAGCAACTTTGCACATTAACAAACACCTAGAAAAAGCCTTTATATTAGACTATTTGCCATGTGAATCCCAGATTGTTCATGCTTCTTACCCTTCTCTAAAAAGTGCTTTAAACCAGTCCTATGGTCGTTATGTTGGGTCAGAACCTGATGTGTGAAAAAGGAGGCAGGGAAAGCAGAATAAAGCGTAAGCCTCACTGCATGCAGTTATTCAACCCTTTACGCTAAAACAGGTTCTGGAAAAAGTGTACCATCTCAATCTGTCTTTTGGATTGCTGATTAATTTTGAGGTCCGGCAGATCAGGTCCGCTTTCATCTCCAGCTTCTATTGGAAAGTTTGCTTTAAGGGACTTCATTTAAACACGTTTTTCTTGTACCATTTCTCTCTCTCTCCAATCATCTACAACTTCCGTGACTTAACCTGTCAATCCCCACTACAACCCGCACTACCACTGTGACGTCAGTTCCTGTCAGCTCTAGGCGCAGGAGAGCTGCACCTCGGATCTCCTTTCCTTTTGCATTGCAGCTTTTATCGAGAGTCAATGACCAAAGATTTTTGCACACCAGGGCGTAATCTGACTAGGAACGATAAACCTTTACTCGTCATTGAAGATTAAATATGTATCTTGCACATCTAAAGAACATATTAATATATTTCAAAATATTAAAATAAAAAAAAATGCATATATTAAGTTTTATTTGTGTTTTTATGTCTTACTCAAGGTCATTGGGTGGGCGGGGTGGGGCCATAGCACCCTCCATTGGCCAGGTGCCACCGTGTATATATATATATATATATATATATATATATATCAATTTAAACTAAGGAAAACTCCTTTAATATGTCTTATTAAAATCTCATCTTGTATAAAAATAAATCTGTTTCCAGTTAATACAGCTAAAATCACACACAGCGTTTCACATCGGATGGACGTCATCAGAACATTATGACTGTATTTTCAAAAAGAGATCTTATCTTTTAAACCTCAGACATTTAGCTCTCTGAGAGCTTCCGAAAGCAAAACACATTAAAAAAATCAGCCTTTCCACCACCAGTCAGTGGAGGACATTCAGAACAACCGGGCTGTACAAGCTATTTCAATCTGAAAGCAGACTTTAAGGTGTTGAAAGAATTAAAACGCCATAAAATGTCATCACGGGGCTTCCAGCAGGAACTGGCTACTGGAGATATGAAAGTACCTCTAAATAAGCAGAAATAAACTAGAAAAATAAACCTGCCATGGCAGGTTTGTAAGGAGGAAACCTTTTTCCTGTAAGAAAATGTTCACTAAAGAGAGAATATAGAGAAAGACTTCCAGAATAATGCTAGTTAGAAAGTGAATTTTGATTATTTGGGTTACAAGAGCGGAAGACATTTTAGGCATAATATTAACTCAGTCTTCTATGCTTTCTACCAACTGTGCAGAATTGTGGGGTAAGTGTCAGAGTTGGGTAAGACGTTGGCTAACTCTGTTATGGTAACCTGACCACATTCTGAAGTGACAAAATGAGATCAGCTCATTATAATGGGATTCACTATAAATAATACTGTAAGAGAGTGCTAAAATGACCATCTGTAAAAAATAAACCTGCAAGGAAATCTTAAAAATTGAGAAATGGAGTCAAAGTGGACAGCTTCTATGAAATAGTTCAATCATCACATTCAAAACTGCACTTGTATTGCATGTTTTCAATTATCTGAAACGGTTAAGTGCAAGGAAACAGGAAACACATTTAAGAAACGGTTCTCACATCAAATTGCAGAAAAGTATTGAAAACAAGCCTAGTTTTTCAGAATACAATACTGGCATTTCCCCTTTCTGCTTTCCTCACGTGGGATCCTAGGTCTGTCTGAGCGACATTTGTGGTTTTCCGGATTTGGTGGAAGAAGTGAAACTCGCATAATCAGAACAAGGTTACAGGAAACCAGAAAAACAAACAGACAGTTATGGGCGAGGGGCTGCTAAGAGACGTAGTGACACTAGCAACGGTGGTTTTGCTTGTTTGCAGAGGCAATAGCTCAGCCCAATCGAGTCATCCCTCAACTATTTTCTCAACCATTTTTTTTAAAACTCCATGTAACTAGACTAAAAACCAGAAAACAGACATCAAAGATAACGTTTGATTCAAATGTAGCTTTATTTATGTATGTATGTATGTATAAAACAAAGTATATTAAAAAAAAATATTCACAAAAACTGTACATTTTATATGTTGATACAAAAGTAGCCTTTAATGACTTACAGCAGATCTAAACTCATTGCATGTTAAGAAAAAGGCTTTCAAACTAAAGTGCAATTTGTAATTTCAAACCAGTCAAAGCCCAGGCTTTTTAAAAATACATGGAAATGAGATTTAGGGCCTTTTACTGGCATAGCACTTATGAGAATTTTAACATTCTCCCTTATACTCCGGGCAGCATTTTTCATGTCAGACAGATGGAAGTTTTGTCTATTTTGGGGGAATATGTCACACATCTTAGACCTGATGTGGCGGTGCAGACTGGACGCAGAATTGCCGAGGGGTGTCTGAGGGTGTTCTTGCATTTCAAAATTGAAGCGAGTGCCCTTTTAATTTCTGAAGGAAACCTTTTTCTCCTCCCTTGTCCCCGAAGAGGCGAGAGAAACATTCGCTCCATCAGATCTGCTCTGGCGCGGATCTGACTTTCTTCTCAGCCTCGCCGTATCTCTGTTCACATCTCTGCAGAATGGGAGGAGGGAGGGGAGTGAGACAACAACCCACAGTTTATAAAAAGAGAACCATACAGGCATACATCAATGCACAGCCACAAACATGCAGTGAATAATGGGTTAGGCTTGTAAAGATACAGAGGGAGTTGCGATTAATTTGCAACATTAATTTTCTGTGTCGAGACCATTGGCAGCAGTTGATGTATGTTTTTTTTCACTGTTACTCATGTGCAGGGATGGGCCGATATACACCCTCATGGGCCCCTTATGCACCATTCTTTTAAAGCTGATAGGAGGATCATGATGCTCATGCAGTCAAGTATGCCATTAACATTAAAGTGCATGTAGATAGTCCACCTCCTAGTCCCTAAACACGACATTTACATATAAAAGGTGCTCAGAGATAAACAGAAGGGCCTCTGCTTTGCTTGATTTCAGGAAGCAGGAAAAGATGCAGTCCAGCCAGTGGCTTCACCTTCATAGCATACTGCAGCCCAATCATTTATCAGTTTAAGTGTAAAAAGCATAGAGACAAGAGTGAGTGAAATACATACCCGCGAGTTCCTGGTCCAGCATGTTGATAAAACTCTCAAGTTCGTCTGTGTCTCCCAGCTTAGCTGAAGAAGCAGAGGAGATAAAGAATAGAAATATAATTGAATTAGCTGTTGAATTTTAAAAAAGCAGGAATGGAACATTTCTGTAAGGAAATATATGTCAGATTTGTAGTATTTCCTTTGGCTAAAAATCCCGGGTGAAATATGAAACTAAGCAGAACTATTTTCAGCTTATTGTTTCCGAAATTAGGTCATCTTTAGTGCACAGGACATTGCGCATTGCACTGTAAAAAGTCTAACTGAATGCTGCCACCAGGTTGGACTAGCTCCAGATGCAAAAGCTCGTAAGAAAGGAAATTCACGTGGGATGTCCATGCACATAAATACAATAATATGTAACTGTTGTGTTTCTCTTCTATTTGCACTAACACGTTAATCAAGTTGGTGGGTTAATTTTATTCTGGAATTCTCCAGGACTATTTCCTGTCTGGCGCCTGACGTTTCCTGTTTGGCTTGTTAAAAAAAATCAGGAGTTTGAAGCGAAGGCTGCAGCAGTGTCTGTCCAAACTTCCGTACGGCCTCGGTAGAGCCTGGAATATACTATGTCTTATTTTAATTTTATACAGTCAAATTGATTCGGTTTTCTAAGGAAAACCAGTTGATTGCAATGACTCATTGACTCAAATACAATCCCTCACACTAAGCATGCTTGTAGCGACAGTGGAGAGAAAAAACTCCCTTTTAACAGGAAGAAACCTCCAGCAGAACCAGGCTCAATGTGAGCGGCCATCTGCTGAGGCCAACTGGGGTACAAGGAGAGGAGTTTGCGATTCAGATGCGATCTGACTAGCCACACAGTACACCCACGAAGACAGGTCGGGGTCTTGAACAATCCCGACATGCAAAGCAATAAATAGAGGTAGGTAGTAACAGAAGAAACTTTCTTTTGGGAGGGAGGTTCTGACATGTGAAATGTAAAAAATCTAAGAGTTTGAAGTCTGGTCGTGTCACATGCGATTCCCTCATGACCAAAACATTAAACAGGGTTGATTTCTTTACGATCAGGAGCTCGTCGTGAGTTGCCAATACTTGACACATGATTTGGCCAAGAGTTGCACAGTTCATGGGGAGCTTAAACGCAATGCACTGCAGCTAATGTGAGTTTTCACTATGATTTTAATCATTTGGGCTCTTTGCAATTCTCGCACCTCAGCCACACCGCGCTCAGTTGGACCCTGGGGTAATGATTACGTTCAATGTCAGAACTTATTTGACAAACTGTAAAAGTTTAAAAAACCATCCACTGGACTTGGTTTCCAAAGGTTTCAAGACGTTTCGCTTCCCCTCCAGGAAGCTTTCTCAATTCAAATGTCTGGATCCACTGTGCTATATAAAGCCCCAAACTCACTGCGGATCCAGACATTTGAATTGAGAAAGCTTCCTGGAGGGGAAATAAAACATCTTCAAACCTTTGGAAACCAAGTCCAGCGGATTGTTCTTTAAACTTTTACAGAACGACTATGACCTGGATGACTGAGAATCTTCATCAGCTTATTTAACAAATGTGTTTCAATCTCCCCTTTAGCACGCTATAGCACTTTTTTGAAAAAGACAAAAAAAAACTATCAAAAATGCTTTTTTTTAATGAAATTTTGTAAGTTGATTCCATTTTTTTCTGTTTCAATCAAGTTCTTCTAAAAAATGGATTTAAAAAAAAGCTAATAAGTCTTCCCTCTCCTTATTAGGTCAATACTTTTTAATGTCTGCCCATTGAATTAATAGAAATGTCGAAGTTTTTTCTAATGTGGTGTTTGTTCGTTTGTGTGTAGGCCTGCTATGAAACGCTGCTTCCAAATGTCTAAAAATGTCAAAAGCTGCACAAATTAACCAGGGAATCAGGCACAGTGCAATGAAACCATGAAGATTAGCAATTTACACCTTCTTGGTCAGGTTTGTGTGTGTTATGTCAATTACAATCCGACAGAATGTGCATGTAAATCCTTTGGAATATATGGGGAGTCATTCATTTACACACAAGCAGACACCTGAGACAGGCGCCACACGAGGCCCTGCAGGAGAATCTCTAAGTAGGGTGCTGTGGAGCCACAGTCTCAGCAGGAGGGACTTTGTTGTTTCATAACAAAACAGCTCGCAGCTTAATGTGAGGAGCATGCATGTTGTTGTTATGGTGATCAGAAGCAAAAGTGATAGTGATCACCGTAAGAGCAATGGCTATCTGAAAAGAGATGGGACGATAGGAGGCTTGTAGTACCTTTCAGAGCCAGTGTTGTTCCTGCTTTGTAGAGCTCCTCCTCGCTGGTATTCAAACTGTTTCCCATAGATGCTCCACTGCCTGGAAGGGGGGGCAAAGAGAAATGTAGAAGAGAAAATGAGCACTAAGGGTATTCCATGCAAATGAGCTGCAGAAATTACAATACAACAGCAACATATGATGATAATAGTATGTTCTAAAGTGAAGGTAAATGCCTGTTTGTGAGTGACTCCCATGCGTCAGCTTGAACACTTGAAAGCAGCTCGCCTTTTCAAAACGTTACGGGGGCCAGCACATTTTCAATAATGACGACGCATGGGAGCAGAGGAAAACATCTCCTCTTTCATCTCATAACCGTCGACGAATGAGCAACAATAGAAAGGAAAAAAAGAACGATTACAGAAGATGGGTTATCCATAATTGGAGTTCATTCCAGTTTATCATTAGCCAAACAGCCACTTTTCTAGAAGAGCGCAGGGTATGTGTCCCCTTGTACTGATAATTTCATGCAAATTAGAAGTGTCAAGCTGCAGTTGTTTAGGCTATTAAAGATCGCCAAGTGATACACACAGGGACAACAGGCAGTGTTATAAAACAGCAGATCATGTCTTTCTTGTCCCACACACCCTGCATATTCTCTCCTATAAAGCAAACATTTCTTGATTACAATGATGTTGGTTTTTGTGCATTTTATTATTTATATATTTGACTCACTGTAGTCAGAGTCTTCCACCCCGCTGTCATCAATGCGGTTCTTGGCCTCATGCAGGACGTGCTGGTAAGAATGATGTTTGCTCTCAGAGGGGGCCTTTAGCTCCTCCACCACATCCTGGAACTCCTGCAGCACGTCGCCCAGCTCCAGCTCCAAGTCTGTGGAAAATGTGACAGCAGTTTGAAAGCAGGCCCAGACTCCGCAGAAAGGAAACACTGAGGCTGACAAGGAGCAGCAAGGCTGAGACGGCGGTGGAGGGAGTGAAAATAAAGTTCAGCACTGAATTTTAAAAAGTTCAAATCAGTTTGATATTAAGGATCTCCAAAGTAGAGATAGGCTGATGCATCTGCCAGCTGATATTTTTGGCTGTTATTAGCATTTTTTATTGTATCGGCATTGGCCAATATGTGCATGCTTTTGCTGATTTATAAGTCTATTAAGCAGCCATGCCAGGAGATCATGTAAACCGCATTACTCCTCCCTCTATTTGCTATTTTATTCATAACATGTTTTCTTGGATTTGGTTCTTTTTGTTAAAAGTTTAACTTTTTTTCATCATTGTTACTTTTATCATTTAAATAGAAGAAGAAAAGAATCGGCCCACAAAATAAATTGGCAGCACATTTCAGGGTAATACTGATATAGAATAATTTGCAGCAGCCCTTAAAAAAACTTGTATTAATCAATCAATACAATCTCTAGTACAAATATCCTTAAAAAGTACAAAAAGAAGTTAAAAAGAAAAACAACACAGTTTAGTTTTAGTTTTTTTGTATCTGAAGATAAATTAGAGAAAAGAAAGAAAAAGAAAATAACAAAAAAGCCTTCTGACACTACAAGTTTGTTTATGACTAGCCATTACAATGTTATGAACTTTATTATTTTAAATTTAAATGTGCTATCATAACTCCAAAATTTGGGGGATTAAATCATTGGAGCACTGATAAAGTAATTTAGTTTACCATGGTGCATTTGTTTCACACAATATGCAGGAAACAAACTGACAGTTAAGAATTATAATATAGTACATTAAGTATTTTTTCTATTCTTACCATCTCTGCAATAATTCAAGTTCTGTTTTTAAGGTATTATTGGACTCACCAACTGTAATTTCTGAGGACATGATGGAAAACGAAGTTCACCACGAGCTGCCGCGTGTCTCTGCTCAGAGCAGTTTGAAGCTGTCAGGAAGCTGGAGTCTTATTCTCAGCATTTAGAAGAGCTGCCTGACCAATCAAGCTGCAGCGGAGGCTCAGAAGTCTACTGTAAGTGGAAAACAGTGGGCGGAAAGTTGAATGGTCGGAGCAGAAAGGAACCCGTTACGCAATACCTGGCATGCTTTCAACATGGAAGTGGAATATTGTAGTTTAACTTGGTCTGAAAACTTCATTAGTTTGTTTTTTATGTTTTTTTTTTTTTTTCATTTATTTATGAGATAATTTAATACAGATAGTTACCTGGAGCTCTGAGCGCATCAGTTTCTGGTTTTATTATTTGTAATGCCGAGTTCTCCAAGAAAAATCCTATTTCGTTACTTTATTAACAGTGGCGACGCCAGGGGGCGCTATAGCTACCTCTGAAAACACCACCAGTTCCAATTAAATTATTGGAAAATTAAAAAAAAAACGTTTTAATAACATCAAAATATACAATTCAATTCATTTTATTTCTATAGTGCCAATTCACAACACACATCATCTCAAGGCACTTTACAGTTCACCAGATCATCCAGTCAGATTTATTCAAAGTTTTCTATCTAAGGAAAACCAGTTGATTGCATCGACTCATTGACTCAAATGCAATCCCTCACACTAAGCATGCTTGTAGCGACAGTGGAGAGGAAAAACTCCCTTTAAACAGGAAGCGGCCATCTGCCGAGGCTGATTGGGGTTCAAGGAGACAGAAGCAGAGATACAAAACGCGACTATAAAACAATGCCCCGTCCAGGAAACACCCAGCCAGGCAGACGAGCTCTGAGCCAGCTCCCATGTCAGAGGATGAAGAGAGCACATCCAGCCAGTCACAGTCAGAGAAACAGGACTACACTGGAAAAACAGGCCAACCTCCAACATCTGTAAACAAAGGTGATGATGGTAGCAGCACAGCTGATATTTCTCTCCAGGGTGGTGTCAAAGCCAAACAGGAACACAATATAAGTAGTATTTCCTCTATAGATAGAATTGTGAGTTTTAAAGAAAACGTTACTTATTTTGTGTGTGTGTGTGTGTGTGTGTTTAACGTGTGAAAATTAGTGTTGCAACACTGACTATACAGCACTAAAATGATGGTATCGGTGTAGACGAGTACCAACAAATAGGGTACCAATACCATTTTGAGAGCCAGAAGTTTATTCAACTATTGCCACCCATCTGGGCCAAAAATCGTTGCAACACTACTGAAATTATCAGGTGGTGTAACTGTCCAGCCCCAACTACTGATTTTTTAAAGGTTATTAAATTACTTCAAATGTATAATTATGTACTCCCAGCCGTTTGTAAACTTTTTTTCATGTGTGATTAACAGTTCCGTAATCTTAAAGTATTTCTAATTCAATCTCTGTCATAATGTTCAGGGGGTTGGCTTTCTCAACTTTGAAACTTGAAAAATGAATGTGGGCTAAACAATCATCTTGTACAACCATTGAAGAGACCTTTATATATGTACTAAATTGGTCATATTTATGCTCATATTGAACTGATGATTTCTATAAATTGCGATTTTTATTTAGCTCTTCTTGAATTTTTTATTCATTTTTCCCCCACTACTATTTATCTGCATTTTGTTTAATTCCTACACAACACAAGAAAAAAATATTTAACATTTTTGGGGGAATGTAATTCAACTAATTAATTATAGGTATAAATTATTATTAGTTTACTTATCAATAACCTTACAATAACCTTACATCTACTTCACCAGATTTGACTTATGATATACATGTCACATCTAGTGGCATATATATAGTGAATTACCTGATTGTTTTTTTTTCCAGATCTGGGGAATCAGAATGCAGTGTGTTGATTGTGTAGGTTTATATAAAACATTGTAGTACTCTATACATATATTTGATCTGCTTTAATTGAATTGCAGAGCACCACACATTCATCATCCGCCTTATTGATGACTTTTTTTAGGTTTTAGAGTAGTGAGGGCCTTTCTGTTTTGCAAAGAAAGCAGAAAGGTCCCCTTTGGCACTAGAAGATTAAAAAAATCTCTATATTTTGTCCCAGCCACTCTTTACTGATATTTTAAGTTGCCCCACTCTACTGTAATACCCTGCTCTGCCAACAGAGGCCCCCCTAAGTCCTACAAAACAAATCTGATGGCAACATCATGAAAGTTCATTGACCCAGAGTGTTTACTAGTTGTATAAAATCTTTATAACTGAAGCTAATTTAAGAAAAATAAAAGTAATCTTTAGTTCAAAGTTTTTTCAGACATTTTTACCATTTATACAAAGGCGTTTAGCATGTTAGTTACTGAAAGCCTGTCAAAGAGCCAACATGAAGCCGTACCAGGTTATTTTAGCTGTACAAAACGTTTTTTTTTTTTGCCAAACTATAAATTATACACCAGAAGTGAAGTAAAATGCTTGCTAAATTAATACAAAAGCAATGATAATGCTAAAAACATTGCAGCATTTATCTTTAAACGTTTAAATTTACCATTTCAATTCATGTTCCAGCATTAAACTCAAACAGAATTAGTGCCACAAAGATCACTAAAAAGATTTAAAAAAAAAAAACCTTATAAAGGACTTACTATCAAACAGAAAGACAAAAGGAGGAATGCAAAATTCCACATTCATTATTAAAAGGCTAAGGAGCTCATTGTATTTTTAATATATAGTCAGTACTGTATTTTAACTACTGCTGTGCTTGTGTCGTCTGCCCCAGAGACTCCTGCTGAAAATTAGCCTAGTTGGCTAAAATAGTATTTTTTTACAGCAATGTGTATTAATATGCAGCTTTTTTGGATATTTTAACAAATAAACAAACTATAAGTTGATATTTTGTTAGCTTGCTTACAGATAACTACTTGTAGATTTCATTCTGTGACAAAAAGCAAGAATTTCCTCCATGCAGGTAAACCTGTTGTTACACTACATTTTATCTGTCAGGAAGCTGGGCAGGCAGTTTGCATTTAGTGGGAGGGGCATCAACAAATTATGTCTTCACTTGTTCAGGTTTGTATTCCTGCCTCTGCGCTCAGAGATCACTTGCTGCTGGGCGACTTGGGTAACATGCGTGAGGGCAATGGGCCATGGGACTTCTTATAATATGAACTGGGCTGGACTTCTGCAGGTCAGTGAATCAAAGGAGATTATCAGTCCTGCTGGGTGATTATTACTGTCTCAATGTCTCGGCACAGAAAGAAGCTTAAATGGTATTTTTAAAAAGACAACATACTAGAATCTGTTGATTTCATGAACAGTTAAGCACATCAGGCATCTCTAAAGAATTGGGATTTGTAGTGTCTGTGTAACTTTGTTATATTTTAACTTTCTTTTAAGTTTTCTTTCTCTTTTTATGTAAGTTGTTTGTGAGAATAATTGAGTAGATGTTGATGAAAGGGATCTTAAGGCCATCATTCTGCATTCTTGCTGTAATTCATTTAACTGTGACATTTGATATCACTGTATCCTGAGGGAAAATCCTCAGGAATTTTTCCGGGTTCAAAGAAAAGACATTGAAAAAAAGGATGTGGACTGTAAAAGAATAAAACCTTTTTTTTTCCTTTACTCAGAATTTGCTGGTCATGCTTCATATCAGACAGATCATTTGTGGCTCCATTCAGTTTTCTGTCAAGGAGGAACTGAAGCCTGGTACTCTGGTTGGATCACTAAGTAAACACTTCCCAGCTCCCTACCATCTCCTGACCAAGGAGTTCCTGCTGGTGGACGAAAACACTGGGGATTTATACATTAAAGAGCTAAAGATGGATCGTGAGCACATCTGCCCTGGGGAGAAAAAAGATGACGACTGCATCATTTTGCACAATGCCATTGTGGGGCCCTCTGTGGACCTTGTACTGTTTTCTGTTATCGTAGAGGACATCAATGACAATGCACCACATTTTGAAAATAGCAAAATACAGCTAAATGTTAATGAGGATGTACCTATAGGAACCAGTCTCATGCTGGACGACCAAGCTCGGGACAGAGACAGTGGACCAAACGGACAACTGGTGTACAAACTCAAAGGTTCTGGTGGAGTTTTTTCTTTAAAGGTTGAAGAGGAAGAACAATCCATCATTATGATTGTAGAAAAGGCTTTGGATAGAGAGACTTTGGATGTGTATCACATGCAGCTGGAGGCTACTGACTGTGGAGAACAGCCTCTGAGCGCATCATTATCTATAGTTGTTACGGTGTTAGACGTTAATGACAACTGTCCAAGCTTTAGTCCTGACAGCCCAGACAGCGCCACAATCTCAGGAGACTCCAAGAAGGACACAGTGGTCACTCAGGTAGTGGCTACAGACCCTGATGTGGGCCCAAATGCAGCCATTATTTATTCTTTCAGTCCTAAGGTCTCTGAAAGAGCTATGAAACTTTTTATCATCGACAATCATTCTGGTCACATCAGGCTAATACAAGACCTGGAAAGAGACGACTCTGAAGAGCTTGTGTTAAAAGTGTTAGCCAGCGGTCTTCACTGCCCACCAGCAGAGACTCAGGTAACCGTATCCCTCCTCCCCACGGCGACCCAAGGTCTAACAATCAAGATCGGGTTCATAGCTGAGCATCACAACCAGGCTGTTGTGTTACCAGAGAACCACCCTCCCACTGCCTTAGCTGTTTTAGAGCTCGAGGGTGACAGCAGCTTTACAGACTCATCTCTTGCTATTGAGGGTGACGTGCCTTTCTTTCTGAGCCCACAGAGTGGCAAATATCTGCTTTCCACATCAAAGCCCCTAGACTATGAGATGAAAAGTGAATATCAAATTTCTGTGGTAGTGCAAAGGACTTCATCTGAAAGACTTGTGATCGCTCCACCACGGCAAGAGATCAGGGTAATGGTGGAAGATGTCAATGATAACGCGCCACTTTTCTCCCAGTCTCTCTACCAGCTAGAAGTGGAGGAAAACAATGAGCCGGGGGTAACGCTGCTGCAGGTATCTGCGTCTGATGCAGACAGCGGACTCAACGGCAGGGTGACATACAGGCTAGAGAAAGGCATCTCAGGCATCTTTGAAGTTGACTCAGTGTCAGGCTTAGTGTCTGCATCGGTTCCCCTGGATAGGGAGTTGAACAAC